CTTCTGGTTCGAGCTCAGCATCTGTGGAGCGCACTCAAGCGATCCCGTGCACTTGTTCGGAATGACGAAGCGAGTCGTAAGTGGAGATCACGCACCGTGGTCGAGGAGCTGCAAAGCTTGCAGACAGATGAGCGAGAGATCAGAATGGAAGCGTAGGATTGCCTTTCACACCTTGGCAAGCACGATGCAGAGTGCTGTCTCGCACTACCAGCACGCAGCTCGAGCGCCATGGCTCCACCACATTTGCAGTGGCTACTGTGCCTCCGGTTCAGAATTCAGTTCTGCTTAACAGGTCTCGCACGCCATAGAGGCTGATGTGATCCACCGTTCGCCAGACGGATCTAGGACCTCTTCGCACCGCAAGGGTACGCGGGTGCAGTGCAAAAAAGTGTGTGGAAGCGGAATCTGTATTAGAGTATGCGATTGCTCGCAGCGTCGAACATGCGATTTGGCCTATGGCAGAAACTCTCACACTGGCAGAAAGCACCAGTGTCGTTGTATCGACCTAAGGACCTGAGCAAGCTTCACCCCGGATCTCCCAATCAGGCTGGTCTAGCCTTGCTTCGCGCACGCTTCGAGGCGCTCCAGTCAAGCGTTGGCTGCGACCGCCTGTTCTTGCTCCGCCCAAATACAGAGTGAGAATGTACACTGCGTCATGGTCTGCTTGAAAGGAGAGGAGAAGCTTGCAAGGAGAAGTGCTCGTAGAGGAATGCTGCACTGTGGGCGATATGCCCCTTGCAACCTACGAAAGGCTGTGGAGGCGAAGCTTGCCAACTGGTCACACAAGTACTCCTGTAGTCAACGCGATGACTAGGCCGTCGATGCTAGTCTAGTGCTACACATTCGTGTTTTGTTGAGCTTTCTTACGAACGTGCCGGTAATCGCTATGGCTCTGAGAAGTGTATTGCAAGAGATGCGCTGCTCAGACCACTGGTGATGATCGCGGCAGGCGGCTGTTCCACTCGTGATTCGCGTTCATTCATCACGGATCAGAATCAGAATCAGAATGTCACGCGCTCGCTTCCTTGGGATGGCGCCTAAAAGGGGGCACGAGGATAGACCTGCCGCGTACAGCTTGGGCCAGACCTGCTGACCTGCTGTAGCTGTTAGTCATCCGAGCGTGAACTTGTTCTGCTGCTCGCTTTATGCCTGCTGATGTGTCCAAACGCTAGCTAGCTGCTTACTGGTGAGTGTCAGGTGCCACGTGACACGCTCACTTGCGTATATCGGGCATCATGCATGTAGCAATCAAATTGTGAATTATCTTCCTCACCACCACGATGATTAATCTTGAGTGAGATCTGTCACTCAAGACTGAGTCCCTCTGTAGAGCTGATTCTATCGTTCTCCCTTCTCTTTATCCTGCCAAAGAGCAGCGGCTGCCAAAGTGTCTGATGGGCACCTAGGACGTGCAGATGGGTGGAAGACCTCGGAAACCGGTGCAGCGAAGCAAGGCGACCATCCTTTGAAAGACGAGCTACTGTCACGTGTGCGCGCGCATATATGCGTGTTCTCCAGAACATCCACTCATTCTTCAATACCATGATCATCTCTCGTGTTTCAGGCGTCAAAGCAACCTTTCCGGCGTCACTCGGTTATGGTTCCTTGGCCGGGTTGCCAAAGGATGTTGGGGAAGCAAAGAGGTTCAGCGGTCTGTTGCTCGTCACGTAGTCTTCCACAGGCGCGCGAGATCTGCTACCCCTCGAGTCGAGGTCGAGCCTGGTCGGTCCAATCCTTTTGGATGTAGCATAGGGATGCAGCTGTCCCTTCGTCATCTCGGAGAATCAAAATGCCCTGGTCTACCCTCCTCTTGGACTTGAAGATGATGGTATATGACCGTCTTGCCCCAGACGATAAAAAAAGCCTTTCGCCATGTCGACACGGTCACCTATCGGACCTTCAGACATCGGGTGAACCTCGCAGCCCCCAAGACCAGCGACGCGGTTAACACACTCCTTCGCTGTGACC